TTATTATTGTAGTTATTATTGTTATGCTTATAGAAGTTGATATCCTTTAATGTATACAGGAGTCTGTTTTAAAACTTATTGCGCGTTTGTACCTTCTCCTCGTCAATTGTCTGTTGAATAAATAACTTATAAACTATCTCGTTTCGTTTTCTTTCCTTGGATTTTTGTTGTTGTTTTTTTGGACAAACTGTGGGTAGAGTTACATCATTGTCAACAACAGCATTGTCGCAGTTCCAGAGCTATATCTTTTAAGTCGCCTTTATGCTTTGTCCCGTTTTGAATTGAACTATTTAAAATTTCACGTTAAGATTGTTGGTTTTATTCTTACATCAGTATGTGTCGTTGAATCACCATAAAAAATATCACGAAAGGTGTTTCTGGTTTATTCGTTTTTAAATATTTTTAAAAAATTTTTATTAATTTTTTTTTGGGGGGGTTGTACTTTTTCTTTTCTTTTTGTAAAGTTATATAGTGGGTGAAAATTACAATCTGTAAATATCTCGAAGAATTAAGCTACCGTTTTTTTTCTGTTATTAGTATTCCTTTTGTACTGTGATCCGCGCAAGGGGTAAAAATTGTTCAGTGATCGCAGGTTTTTTTGCGAGCAGTTTTCATCATAACTTGTCCGTGTGTGAGTGAGAGAGCGAAGGAAAGAGAGAGGGAGGGAGAGCGGGAAGGAGAAAGAGAGAGAGTGAGGGAGAGGGAGAGAGAGAGAGACGGCGCGCTGTGACGCCATGGGAGAACGCGGGTTCTGAGTGCGCGATAAGGACTGAGAGAGGGAGAGAGGGAGAGAGGAAGGGAGAGAGAGGGGGGGGGAGATGGAGAGAGGGAGAAAAGGAAAGAGGGAGAGAGGGAGGGACGGAGGAAGAGAGAGAGGGGGGGAGAGGGAAAGAGGGAAAGATGGAGAGAGAAGGTGAGATGAGGAGGGGGAGACAGATGAAACAGAGTGTCTGTGGTCACAGAAGGTGAGTAAATAAACGACCGAAAGGGGGGGGGGCGATACACCAAGCTAAAAAACTCGCAATATAGTGTTAGATAAGAGAAATATTACTTGTCGAGAACTGAGTGGCTTTTGGGAGGCAGGCGTTAATG